TGGGGGCAGAAAGTGGAAATGAAAGCAGACAACAGAACATTGTTAGAGATCAGGAAAGGATGTGAAAGGAGACAATTTTAGAGAAGAAAATTTTTTGGTCGCTACCCGGAATCGAACCCGGGACCTTTGAATGAGAGGCCAACACCTTAACCTCTAGGCCACGAGAGCCCCCTAAATGTATGTGTGGAAAATACCAAAAATTTGAGCGGTCAAAACGTGACATTAAATAGATGGTAATTTTAATGATGTGAAACTTTATACAGGAAAGGAAAATGCTAAACATCTCTTGTTGTTTCTGTGGTAAAAGGTTGAGTGTTTAAGAAAAGCACGCATTTTGGCGATAAACTGTTGGGCAGAAAGCCCCTGACTGGGTCACAAGTCTGGTGAAAGGACATGATGCTTCTCGTCATTTTCCTGTTCTAAGTTGAGCCTACTTAATGATGAAAAAAAAAAAATACTTTTAAAGATATATGAATAAAATCAGCATTACTTCAAGTCGAAAGGGGTTGTTAAACACACTTGTTGGGTTGTTTTGACTCATAATGGGGATGTTATAAACAAAAAACTTTCTCATCGCAATTTCTGTCATTTCATCATGTCCGTTCATGAGCCTGTATTTTGTTTCTCTGCTTTGCTACCACACTTTGTAATGAATCAACTAGTTCCATATCAATGTTCCCGAGTGAAACTGAGCGCACATTGCTGCTGATGGAGGACCGTGGAGAAGATGAGGCACTAAAGTTTTTTGTCATCACTTTCCTTGGCATCATGTCCGTTTCAGATCTATTAAATTGTCACGTCCGGTGGCTACACAAGCCATGGTCTTGTTAAATCGAATAAAGCATGGTTTAGTTTCTATGTAAGAACCAGTTGCATATAATAGTGTTTGATGATTCATACATAAATCTTAAATTTAGAGATTGGTCATGCGTGGACATGAGCAATGACGGAAAAAATTCATGTCATCATCATGTCCATTACATTTTCATCAATCAGCTTTTTGTTGTAGAATATTGCAAAATTCATTACTGCTTAGAAGATAAAAATAACGGAGGCACATCTTAACGAGTTTTAAGCCTTCAAAGGAACAAAAAGGCAAAAATTGACACAAAACGGATGGACATGATCAATGACAAAAAGTTTAATGTCATCATCATGTTCACATCGAATATCACTATTGCTATAAAATATTTCTTGATCAGATATTTTATACCAATCATATTTATATTCAAACTGTAAAGTATCCTTGTAAAACCTATTTTGGGGCCTGGGTATGCTTTACGAAATGCTCAGAGGATGAAGGGATAAATGGACATGATGCATGACATGTTTCTTCTTGTCATCACTTCATTTGTCATGTCCATTGCATATTTGCACGCTCACCAACCTATGGTATCTTTTTTGTTTGCTCAAAATTATGTCTCTGAATAAAGCTAACATTCCATATGCCCGAAAAACCGATGCGAATTTCGTGTGCGAACTATTTTTTTCGTGCCAACCTTTTTGTCATTGTGTAAATCCATATACCGGAATTTCGCAGGGCCGAATCCGAAGATTTTGTTTCGCACGAGGGAGCGAAACTTTTTTCTTCGGCACCCGAATTCTTTGTGAAGTGGACGGGGCTTATTTCCCGCCAAATCTACTTCAAAGGAACGAAGCAGCATAGAAGCACTAGGTAAGTGGGGAAAACGTCGAAATGTTGATTTCCTTGGTTTGAGAGAGAAGTATAAAACTAAGACTGAAAAGAGGTGTTTATGTTCAAGGTGGCTGCCATTTCCTTGGCAACCACTTTTTTTAAAGCTTTTGGGATTCTATGTAATCTAGATCAAGATAAATCTATGCTATCATTTATCGTTTAAATCATGTAATACATGTAACAAAAAAATAGCATTTCACTTACCCCCCACCCCCTTAAATGCACTTGAATACAACTTTTAACATACATAATTATAACTTAAGATTGCTGTCTGTGCCGCAGCCACATCAGCCAGCGCTGTCGGTGATAGGACCGAAGCTTCGAAAAGAAAACGACCCAAGAAAGCAAAGCTTATGAAGGAAAGGCCATCATCAAGTCTGGACAAAGCAATTTAAAGCCTGCTTTCGTAGGAACAGGAGTTCTAACAGCAAAATTTTCTCGTTTTCAACGTAGAGTGCTTGCTCTGACTGAACTGGTGTCGTGATTTCAGTCAGATGACGGATACGAATTTCGGGTAAATGGAAGGAGGGCTCTTTTTTCATCGCACGCGAATTTCCTGTACGAAATTTGCACCCGAAGTTCGCATCGGTTTTTCGGGCATATGGAATGCCAGCTTTAGACAATTAAATGACTTCATATATGGGTTCAAGAGAGTTCTTCAGACTTAATTAGTTACCAAATAAAAGAGAAATTGACAAATAAACATTACGGACATGATGTATGACAGTAATCCAAGTGGAAATTTGGCAGATAATTTTGGTACAGTTGGTCTATTTTGATGTTTTTTGCCTTGATTTGCCCATTTCTATTATCATCCTGATGAATTTTAGACAAATCCTATTGAAACTTGTAAATTACAGTACGCTTTATTGTGTCATCATCATGTCCATTCAATAACTGAAGTATGCCAGAAAATCGAACATTGCAAAAAAACGGTCAGACTTTTTATCTTAAATTCAGTATATTATGAAACTTTAGCATACTGTTGATGAAATGAGATTGATTTTGGTTCAGTTAGTTAGATTTGAAAAATTATCTTTTTGTCACTTTCGGGACCAACTTTTGAGACTTGCTCAATTCTGAAAGAATTACACTGGCTGCCAATAAAAGAAAGGATCAAATTTATACTGCCGTTCTCTGTTTTCATGTATAAATGATAGTGCACCCTTTTATCTTAAAACATTCCTGGAATTATATCATCCACCTAGAGCCCTTAGATCAGCCTCTGATAATCTAATTCTTAAAGCTTCAAAACAAAATTACAAAATAAACGGCGAGCGTTCCTTTTTGTTCTTTGGTCCCCAGGTATGGAACGAACTCCCATAAAATAAGATCTGCCCCAACAATTTCCATTTTCAAAAATCAGCTGAAGCATTTTTTAATTCACAAAAGCCTACCTGTAACAATGATGTACTGTGATTATATATATTATGAGCGCCAGACTGTGAGACTGAAGAAACAGCGAGTGAGAGAGAGAGAGAGAGAGAGAGAAAGAAAGAGAGAGAGAGAGAGAAAGAGAGAGAGAGAGAGAGAGAGAACGGAAATGTTTTTCTATCTCTGTATAGAATGAATGTTTTAATGAATGTTTCTAGTTACTCAAGTTTCAACTTTATAGTGACCCTTCGTGAATTTTTATTGCATTGTATATTTTAGTGAACACATTTCCAACCTCACTGTGAGACTGTTTTTCTTATTTATTATAATATAAATTTTTACACACATAATATTTATATAGTATATTATATGCTTGTACTGTGTTTTACGTACACGCATGTTGATTAATTTTTTCAGTGTGATGTCTTTTTCGTTGTAATGCGCATTGAGCATTTTTTTAGAAAATGGAAATGCGCAGTATAGATGCTATTATTATTTATATTTATTATTAAATTAGTATTAGAGCATCTACCTATCGTCGCTTTCGCATTTAATCGCCGCTTTCTGCGTTGATCCTCAATAAGATAGGACCGGTCTCGAGGCGAGCTTATCAAGATAAAGGTCGTCCACCCCAGCCCTCAATGCCAGAGCCAATCGTGCGGGATGTTAGGCCTGACTGATACTGAGAAGGCCCAGCTGCAGATCCATACACTTTACACATGGTCACTATGTGTTGCAATCGACAGCCTTGAACACTGCATAACTCTGCATAATTTTGGTGATGTTGAGTGGTGCATCTTTCTGGATTCTAGATCTAGATCTAGATCTAGATCTAGACTAGATCTAGAATCTAGCCAGATGTAGAAGATTAGTAAAATTAGTTTTTTATTCTAGATTTACCTTGACTTTGATAGATTCTAGATTTCTAGATCCGGAGTGTCTACGTACACGGTAACCGGGCACCTAGCCTCAGTGTCTACTAGTACTAGCCTCAATATCTATGTGCAAGGTACCGGCAACCGGGCACATAGTTACTCTATCACGGTAACCGGGCGGTCCAGAACCCCAAATTCAGTTTTTGTCATCTGGTGTCGCCTTCATCCCCACCCCTTCCCCGGCTGTACCTTTAAAAAAATTAATAATCCCCCCATTTTGGAGCCCTATGCTTTGGAGCGCACAGACTTTGAATGAACTTTACTTTGGTGACCCCAACCGGTACTCACAATGTGATGCGCCCGCACAGGTTCACTGACCGGTCACGATGGCGAGCCCGACAAGACGCTTGTATGACTTTCTTTATTTTTTTTCAGCAAGTGACAGCATAGGACAAATTGATTAATTATTTTCATTCCGGTTACCGTGTACTACATATACTAAGACTAGGTGCCCGGTTACCACCGTGTACGTAGACACTCCGTTCTAGATCAACTAGATCTAGTTTCTAGATCTAGATATCTAGAATTCTAGATTTAGATCTAGAATCTAGATCTAGATCTAGAGTCTAGTAGAGCTTTGGGAGGGTGTAGAAAAAGAAATTTCTCAAAATTTGGACTTATTAAATGGATTGCTTGCGACAACATTGCCGAATATAATAAAAAAAACAAGCACGCCTACAGTACAGCAAAAAGAAACAAGTTCAAGTTATTTTATTAGATTCTAGAGATCTAGAATCTAGATCTAGAATCTAGATCTAGATTCTAGATCTAGATCTAGATCTCTAGATTTCTAGATCTAGATTCTAGATCTAGACTATATTCTAGATCTAAATTTAAAAAATTCAATCTGATCTCGGTCTTGACCAGTCCAAGTCAGTAGTCAGTGACAGTGCCTCCCTACAATGCCCAATATTACATCCCTCTCTTCCATTTTCTTGATAGAAATATCAAGAATCTAGACCTAGAAATCAGTTTGTAATAGATCTAGTACATACCAAAAAACACTGAAAATCCAGATAATCCTAGGAAGGCCAGAACGGCGGCACAGCAAAGAAGTAGAAAACAACGTCTTCTCCTCATTATTAGCCGTCTAAAAGATGCCATATCACAACTCACATCAGTGCAGTGCAGAATAGAGGTGCAGAACAACGGAACCTGACGGCCAATTCTCGTTTCGGTGAGACTTTTCAAGAAGGATCACTGTCAATGATTGATCTTTTTTCAGGTCAGTAAAAGTCGTCTCCCTTGTGTCGGACAATAACTGCAAAACTGACTTTCCTGCCCTGAGGTGAAAATAGCTGCAGCTAATTTACAATGATTCAGAGTCTATTAAAAAAAAATTGTATTTTACACGATAGGTTTCCTGGGGGTTATGATAATTTGATGGGTCCACTGATGACTTTAGCGGACAAAGTGGTACGCAAAATATTTGAATAATATATAGGCCTGCTCTTTTTCTCCGACGAACGTTCGGGAAAATACACTTGAACTCTATTTCTCCGTGTGTGTGTTTGTGTGTATTGTGTGTGTGTGTGTGTGTGTGTGTGTGTATGTGTGTGTGTGTGTGT